GAGTTACACAATTTTAATGTTTATGCAACACGGCCGCATATTTAGAGACAAAATGAACTGAGGATAATTTTACAAATGTACCAAATTGTTGATGGACAAATTAAATGACCAAAAGATTTTTCCATTAAAGTAAACGGACATCTTATCAAAAGTACAATAAGAAGATCAAGTTTAATTAAGAAGATTCATTAAAAAGATTTCTTGCAGTGCGTTTAAAGTCTCATTTACAAAGTATCACTCATAAAAGGGTTGTGGCTCGGTCCCTTATCACCTATTTTATACACACTATGTGCTGGTGTATAAAAACTAACCATAAACTCAATAGGCCTATCCCTAAAGTTTGCATGCAAGAACATTATTGCATCATAGGTTGCAACGATACATATCACAGTATTTCTTCTTGGACGTGTTTCCAGCTCCCTAGCCACTGCTTTTCCATCTGACGTTTTTGATTCAAAATGTTCCTATATCCGTGATTTGTGGTTCGCCGGAGGGGAATGTACTTTCAGCGGGACACATGTTTCATTGCCGAAAGCCATCTTTTCTCCTTCTTGTCACATGAACTACAGGGGAGTATTCTGCATCGGATGAAAATGGACAGTTAAAATATCTGTACCATGTTAACCAAACCGTGGTCCAGAATTTAAAGCACCTTGAACCAAAATGTGGCATCTATACCGTCGTATACCTTCTCACAGTACCGGTATATTGTTGCTAATGTTGTAACTGTACTTCATCCATTTAAAGTTTGACAGTTTAGTGATTAGTTATACCACTTTTTGGCACACTCGAGTCTTTCTCTTTTTCATGATTTCTGTGTGTTATCTGGGTTAATTTCAAAAATGCACCTGCAAAACAAATATTCTCAATCAGGTTGTTTCTTATGACATCCATTTCAAAAGAACACATTTTAATTAAGGAAAAGGGAGCTAAATGTGCGAGAAAATGAAGTTTCATGTCCACAAACAGGAGACTAAAGAGAGAGAGAGAGAAATGGGGTTTAACGTCCACTCGACACAAACTAGGTCATTTCAGGACTAACATATGGTTTTAATTTTATTTCAATAATTCGCTTGCGCGTAGGGGTCTTTAGCAGTGGGAGGAAACCGGAGGACCCGGAGAAAAACCCTCGAGGTTGGACAGGCGACCCTACTCCTTGCCACGTACAACCGGGGATTCGAAACCACGCCAGTTGACTCAATGACAGACTTTATGGTACAGCGCGCACGTGCTAACCATTCAGCCATCCAACCCCCCCAGGAGACTAAACATATCACAAATACTATCAGTGTATACTGGAATAACCAGACTGCCATTCAATTTGGACATATTTCGCCGAGCATAACTGATTACAAATTACACTAAAAACAGAAACGACTGAATGTAAATCAGTTTATAGACATTCATAATAGATTATTATCGTTGCGACCCATTGTGTTCATTTCTCGGGGCCAAAGAATACAGATTTAGCTCCTTTAAGTTAGGTTGAACTTTTCTGATCATGATTCATATTGGTAGTAGCTGTAACTAACGTAACACCCATTGCTTTCCGGGTTAAAACCCATGCTTTCTTCTATCGTTACCGCATCTTGGGTTTCTGATCAGATTTTGGACTAACCAGTGGCGACTCTGCACCTATGACAGGTAAATCTAAAAGCAGACTAAAATAGGATTCACCTGTTGCTAATAAGACCTACCCCAAGGTTTAAGCTGGGAGAGAGAAATGGGATTTAACATCCACACACAACACGAACTAGGTCATTTTTGGACTAATAAACATAGAATTTTATTTCAATAATCGCTTTAACCGTAGGTCTTTTATAAACAGTGGGAGGAAAACGAACGACCCAGAAAAAATGAACACGGTTAGTCAGGCAATCTTACTCCTTTCAACGCCACTTGACTCAAAGACATAGGCTTCATTCTGACCTAACTAAGGCCCATGTTAGACCATGGATCTTATATAAGCTCCATGGTTAGACCATTCGTCCAACCACCCCTCAAATTTCAAGGTCCAAGCAGAGGGCAGGAAGTGTTGGTTTTCATTAACAATGCGCTCAACTCCCAAAATTATTATCTTCAGTAAGTTCAATCTTATAATTTTTCTTTACCGGTAGGGCCTACCTTTGAAAAAATTTTACTAACCCAGAGAAAGGCTGGGTAGCCCACTCTATAGATGACAGGAATGGCACTCAAGGATGCAATAAGCTGTGCCTAAAAAAATTAGTAAAATAAAAAATTAAAGATCATTATCCAGACAATGCATTGACAATTCAATAAATTCTTAATAATGGTTTTCAGTAGTAGGCCTAGCCTACAGACCTGAGACTATGAACTTAATGAAGCCCAGAAATGTTAGCCCTTCATAGTTCATATATTTTTTTTCTATATCAATGTTATTATTATGTCATCCGAGTAGCCTCAACTAGAACTGAAGCCTCCAAAAACAATGCGAAAAAATATTAGGCCTAGCACTAACACCAGAGTGTATTTTTACTCTGTGCTAACACTAACACTGTGACAGTGTATGTGAGTATCATGTATGTCCATTTGTCTAGAAGTAGAAGAGTCTATTCCTACTATTTCATAAATCAGTTACCGTACATTTTTACGAATGCTAAGAATCAATCTATGTCAAACAAAGATGTGTCCCTACTGTATACTTACCTAAAACTGCAATGTTTGGTATTGACTGTAGTGTTCAACTATTGTGCTCGATGTTGAGGGATTCCTCTTTGCCGCTAACTAACGGTCTTCGCAGTAATGGCGCCCAGGAAGACCGATGACGTCACTTTAATTTAAACACCCGTATGTCATATTTACGGACGAAATTCTGTATTTCTTAAATATTAACAGACTCGTGTCTGTAATCAGGATAACAGACCTGCGCTGTAGGCGTTTTACAGAAACAAGTCTGTAAAAATTACAGAAAAGGCTTACAGTGTGCTCCGGTCTCTGACAGATTAGATTGACTTGATGTAATCGACATTTTTATATTTACATTTCACTTCAATCAAGTAGAGATCGAACAAATACTATAGTTATCACTTGTAAATATCTGAGTAGCGTGTACCCGGTCAAGACTTCGCTATTCAAGTGTTCTAATGGGATTAATATCGGAGGGAAATTGCACGCCAACGATGCACGAGCTAGTGATTGACGTTTAGCAATCAACATGCAGGTGTTTATTTCTTGTTATTCATTTGAAATATCCTGGATTAAAATACAATAATTGTAACAAGAGTTATCCAATAATAATTTGTTATTTTAACTATTGTGTTCACGGAGACCGACGAAGAATGACGAACACTAAACAGTTAAACTTGTATAAATAATGAACCAGAATAATAACTTTGTCATTTATTTTATATAAACTCAAAATATTTATTATTATTGAACTGACTTTCCCTTTTCTAAGTACATGTTCTTACTTGTGTAGCTTGTGCAATAAACTCGTTTTAAAGAAAAATTCCTTTGCGATGCATGCAGCGATTTTATAACACAGTTTAATAACAAAAATAACTGAATTTTAGGTTACTAATTTCCTCTTTTTTTCCAAATTATTTTATTTGTATGTTTCATGATATATTTATGCACCTTTACAGAGTAATTCGAATCATTAAATCCAATCTACATGTAAAACGGTTTCAGCTTTTTAAAAAAATAATTATTTTATTATATGTGAAAGGTGAAAACTTCTAATAATATTTTCAGTTTGTAGGCCTTATTTCCATATTTCAACCCGTGTTGCCAATATAAAGATAGATTCCTCTAATTCATTTTTAATTATTATGAACCGTTATTATGTATATAATAAGGAAACGATGGTGAAAATATAAAAATATTTAGTATATAATTGTCGTTTATATTTTCAAATCATTGGAATTCAAGCTTTAATACATATGTATCGTTTCAAATTATTTATAAATAAGGGTCTATTCATTTACATATTTTTTATTTTTTCATATATATTTATGTATTATAACTTCTATTAGATTATTTATATTATAAACAATTTATCTAATATATCAGGGCCATTATCAGTCTTTTGGGGTATTCTATCTTCTTTAAGGTTATTTCAATTATAAACAATTTATCCAATAAACGAGGGTCTTTATCAGTCTTTCTTTTTGTGTATTACATTTTCTATATAAACAACTTATCACAAAAGAACATAACTAAGTAAATCGAAAAATTTGACAAACAAAACGGAAACAGTTTGCATGGAATCTTTCCTCCCAATATGTCTCCACCTAATCATGTTGATATCCGTACTCAGTATAATCAAATTAAATCCGCATTATTCATAATTTATAAAAAGGTATTAAATTATGAAATAAATATTGTGACTTATTTGTTAATAGTGTTTATGTATCCTATCAATGGTAATATAATATAAATATGATTTATACTATGATTGACAGGTAGCTATTGTTTGATCTTGCCGACACGAGTCACATTTCATTGTGCGATTTAGAGATATGACGAACTGCTCTCTGATGCTGGTTGTATCAAATACGCGAGTAACTCATAATAAATGCTAGATGCCCTGATTAATTGCACTGATCGCGTAGAGAGAATTTAAAGCCCCTGACGGGACGAAAGACACAATTCTCCAGATGGCTTGCCTACAGAAGCATATGTTCCACGACCATTTATATTCATACCGTATTGTTCATTTGATATTTGAATCAATAACTCCCAAATCTCATAAATAATCATAAAAAATATAATGATATTATGATAAAAATAATATAAAGACTAACTCATATATTCCACGAGAAAATATTTAATGAATGCAAAAAAAAGTTGTTTGATATTAACAATGTACACGCTCAGTGCATTAATCACAACAACAATAAAAAAACATTAACAACCTTTTAAATTAAACATAATACTTTATACAATATTATAATAAAGTTCTTTCAATGAAAAAAAATAGGAACGTTTCCAATAATAATAATAAAAAGAAAATGGCACTTTATTTTACGGAGAACAAATGACTATAAATAAATTATGATGAATAATCGTATTATTCTTACCCCTCTCTTTAAGTAAAAGCATCCACAGTTCACAGTTTCACAAAATAAAATAATTGCAAAAATGTCCCTTATATAATTATAATGTTTAATAAATATTTACTTTTCTATTTAAGTCAATAAATATATCAATTCTTATTTTAAATTATCGACGATATTTTGCTGAGTAGTGAAGCAGCGTTCGGTCCAAACATATAAGGATTAAATAGATTTCTTTGACATCCTAGAGCTGAGTGAGAAAGTAGAGATGGTCGGGATAAAAATGCCGAATGAGGACTCAGGGCCGATCCATTGTAAACGTTATTTGGGGACTGAAGTGTGTGTTGGGGGACTGGAGGGCTTACGGGATTGTTGTTGGTCGGACTCGGCATCTGAGCGCCATCATGGAGTTTCCGTATATGTTTCTTGAGGTCAAAGTTTCGGCAAAATCCCTTTCCGCAGATTACACAGGTGAAAGGCTTCTTGTCATTATGAGTGTGCATATGAAACGTTAGATTATACACTTGATGAAAAGCCTTGTTACATATAGTACATTTATATTGTTTTTCTATACTATGAGTTAGTTTGTGGTTTTTGTAGTTCCCCTTTTGATGAAAACCTTTCCCGCAGTATTCGCAGGTATACGGTTTGAAACCATTATGGATTCGCATGTGAGTATTCAAGGTGGAACTTCTATTGAATGCCTTTCCGCAGGTGTTGCACTTGTGGGGTTTCTCCTGGGTGTGGATGATCTTATGACGACATAGGGTGCTGGCTTGGCGAAATCCTTTACCGCATATCTTACAAATGAAGGGTCGGGCTCCAGTGTGAACAGGCATGTGTCGAGTTAAGTTATAATGAGCATTGAACACTTTTCCACACTCTTGACATGTAAAAGTTTTCTGAGATTTATTTATCACCTTTTTTCCTTTCAAATTCTCCTCTTCACTTGCTGAATAACTTTTCTCCGTATTTTGGGAACTGTCCAGAGAATTGTCCAATTTATGACTCGGAAAATTATCTTTGTCTGAACCGTCCACTTTTAGAATTTTTTCTGTCATTTTCCTGGGTTCGGGTAATTTTTCTTTAGAATAACTGTTGATTCGATCACGTCTTGGAGATAGTTCGGGTTGGGCACTAGCAACAGCTCTCTGCTGAGATAATAACTGTTGCATGTTAGAATATTTCAAGAGTTCTAAGTTGGAATAAAGTCTATCTTTGGACATGGTGAGTCCAGATTGATGTAACAGGGAATAATTTCTCAGTAATTGTGCATGGTACTCATCATAATTTGTCCGGGGTAAGGTGAAAGCCGGGTGGAAATAAGGATGAAATCTTGATGAATTTAAGTCCATGGAATCACGATGCACATTTGGGTAGATAAGACGATTGTTGTCGGTTGATGGAAATAACGCATTTCCAAATGCCGAACTTGGAAACGCTGGAACAGACAAGGGACTTGTTTTCTCTGGCGAGGCGATGTTAGATCTTGGAGATAATGTAGAACCTGTGCTGACCGGAGAGTCTGGTTTCCTTGGAGAATTTTCTACTCTGTTTTTCTTTGGGCTAGGTTCCATAATTCTGTCGATGGAGAAAGCTAATTTTGGTTTCACTAGGACTGAGGTGGTTTCCTCCATTTTAGAAAATTACTTGTTGCTACGAATGGTTTATTATTCCTGAAAAATACAAAAAAAACACCATTAGCCTTTATCAAATAGCACAGTAATAATCGTTTTCTTTTTAAAAAATGAACATTTTATTTCTAAAGAGTACACAGTACATAATCAATAAAGGTAAATCTTTATTGAGGACGTCGCTTAATTGGTTGGATTTAAAAAAAACGCACAGAAAAGGAAAAATAATATTCTACATAGTACATGAAGGAAAATGATAAAAGACTATAATGAAATATATTAATAACAATATAGTATCTTTATGGCATATATAATAATAATAAACATTTTTTAATCATTCTGCAATGAAAAAAAATATAAAGAAAACAGTTCTTACCTTAAAGAAAGACCTTCTATAATTGCATATCTATGACACTACAAATAATTACAATCCAGCGTTCTTCTCTTGTCTTGTTACATTCACAACGATAACGAAATGGTGACTGTCGATGGCCACGGTTCCACTAAAAGACGGATGAAAAGCGAGGTTGTTGTTGGATGGGGATATACGATGTGATGTCCCCCCTGCTACTAGTGATGTGATTTATATACCACTGCCAGTTTCTACCCTACTGTCGACATTTTACAGTTTTAACAATCAAACACCATATTTCAATCATTCAACATATTACATTTTTAACGGGTGACGAAAAGCTCATTGGGACTACTAGCTGACCAATCAGAAATAACCTAACATAGCAGTCAGGACACAAATAGACCAGTCACAGAGAGGCAATCATCACTTGCGGCTTTTCGTTCCCTCATTGTGTGAAGCAATATGGGGCGTGGTATTGTCTCCATCAATGGGCGTGGTTTAAGAAAAATGACAGTTTATTGATATTTTGCAAGTCTCCCCCGCTATCAAACACTAAGCGAAGATTGATATTTAATTGACATTTATTTTCTGCTTGTGTTGTCAATTACAATCATAATTTTAACGCAAACAAATTCATAAGCTGGTTATTTTTAAAATGAATAGAGGGCTTTAAGACTTTTGGAAGCCTTTAGAGTGAAGCTAGAGGCGGTTCCCATGTATATTAGTTATTAAATTCACACGGTAGATAGATAAATAACAAATATTGATATAACAAACTTTATTATATATGTAGGTATTTAACTATATAAATATATCTATTTAATAAAGTGAACGTTTACTTTATGTAGGCACTTAATGTTATTCTAAACAGCCAAGCTTTTTTTAAGCATTTCGGTGGGATTGAAATAAATTTTGGGTTCCGCGCATTTAAAGAGAGTTTATAAAACTTCACAATACATTCAATTTTTAAAATCATCATTTCTCTAAAATTCAAGACATGCCTAACAATTATATCTACTCGGGGAATGTGTGCATAAATGTTTGCTCTGTTCGTGTTTTGATGTGCAGTTCTCCCGTATTGTCCTTTAATACGATTCCACAATACGTTCATTTTTGTTTTTAAATCACCATTTGAATGGAATTCAAAACACACCTAACAATTATATAAGTCTACTCAGTGAATATATCAATACTTGTATGCTGTGTTTGTGTTTTGGTGTGCAGTTCTCCGGTATTATCTTTTAAGGTTTGAAAGCAACCCCATGTTGGATAAATATCGAAACGGTACTTTTAACACGATTCGATTAAAGTACTATCAAAGATTATTCTACAACAAATATTATATTCTGTAATGATCAATCAGAATGAGGTTGTGCGATTATATTTGCACATCCTAAGTGATTATTTATTATACGGTCTGAAAAAATCGATCGATAAAATCGATTGTTGGATTAACTAACTAAAACACTAGACATAAACTACATGTATAAATTTGTCACTTAGGATAAAAGACTGACAAAGCCAGAAACTATAACCTCTAATTAATTGGTTAAAGGGGCGACAGCCGCGACACCATGCGAAATTGCAGATTTTATTGCTAGCAATATATTATTAAATCAGTCCAAATAAATGGCATAAACTACTCGCAATAATAGTCATACTTAAGCTTTATTTTGTTTAATTTTTGAAAGCAGCCTTGTATTGTTTGGTGTTATAATCAGTCTGCAATTCATTTGAATGAAAAAATATATACTATTGGTAACGTTTAAGTATATTTTGTTGTTCTGGATTATATAATAATTTTTGGTGATTTGCGAAAAATATCTCATGTTTTGAAAATCGTTGGTTTAGAAACGGAGCGATTTTCGTCGTTATTAAGTTTGTGGCATCTTGTAGAATATACCACAAAGAAGCAACTATGAATAATTAGCTACAAGTGTAGTTCCAATAAAAGTAAGAATATTTTCATCTCTGGCATTATCAACGTCACTGATACAAAAGCCCCCCATGAGTTAGCTATGTGAACTAGTTGTTCATGGAATTAGTTGTTCTAGAAAAGTAAGCACACGTTGCCTCAAGTACAGCTCTATGCATAGTTAATGGGAGCAATAGTTACGACTATTGAACTGTTAAATGGACGTTGATAATATGCTGTAATGTATACAGTAAGAATACCCTGGCCCTTGTACGACATTCATCATTAATTAAAGCTATTAAATTGGACAACTGAATAGTTACAATGAAGTCTTTTGTGTTCTAATATTCAAAACAAAAAGTTCAGGATAAATGAATTATATAAATTATTTTTACCATGTGGATTTTTTCAAACTAATCCACTCAGTGAGAATAAAAATTAACACTTATATTATTTACTTATTCGTACGCTTATCTCCACGCGTTCGTTTTCAATTTCACCACATTATCCGTTACATGTATATAATTTTCAATTTAATATCTTGTAGTTATGTTTTGACATGATTGATAAACAAATCACTTTACTGAGCTCTTGTAGAGTTAAATAATACAGTCGAAGTTAGGGAGCTGTGGGGATTAACAGATTAAATGGATCAATAGGAGATTAATTTGATAGATTATTGTATACTGTGCTAAAGAGAAGATTAGGGTGTGTCACTTACGGACGTCTAACCGTTTTGACAGATTTTTCAAGTAGTTCGTATTAATAGATTTTGAAGGTAAATAAGTATAGCGTTATGTTTGCCGTCGGTTTGTAAGACACAACCAAAAGTGATAAGAATCATTATGAAGTGTGTTAGATGCTACACAGGTTTAAAACTAATCCGAATAAATAAGATTTAAGAGAGTTGGAGCACAAACTTTCCCATGAGAAATAGCTGAGCATCTTCTTTATGGAAAGAGAAGAAAAACGGCATTTCCTCTCCATCCAGGCCACAAATAAAGTAAAACTTTTTTGATAATTAACAGGTGGTGACAAAAATGCTTGCCTTTATTTTTATGTAAATAAATTGCACCCTTCTTCATCTACGCGTTTGTCGTAATCTAGAGGCAGTGAATGGGAATATAATATGTAGGCTACTTATAGTAAATACAGTACTGTCAATGTTCTGAATTTGTTTGTAATAAATTTTCTGTTGCTAAATTTAACTTAATTCCTTTTGTCAATGAGCCCAACATATCTGTATTTTCGGGTCACCTATCAAAATGAGCCTTAATCCGGCACTGGTTTCGGATAGTAGTTGTGTGTAAAGGGGGGTGGGGGCATCTGGCGAGCGAGCAACCGATTGTGGCGTTCTACTAATTTGAAATTGATATTTAAAGGATCAAATAGTACCAGTATAATTAATTTATTTTTGTAAAAATCAAAGATGAGGTGATGTTGGAGAGAACACTCCCTCACCCCGACCCCTAAATTTCCCTACCTGTTTCGGCACTTGGTGTATATGTTGTTTTTAATTTTAGAACATTGCCGTATTTCGGAATTTTAATATATATTAGTATATTGATTTCAAGCTCAGTAGATATTCATCTTCATATCCCGTAAATTTAATTTCAAAATATCATTTCACTTAAAACTTATTTGAACAAATTTAATTGGTGACAGCGTTAAAAAATATATATATATATATCGTGTGGCCCTGAAAAAGACCCAAGTACACTATTTAAATTGGAATAATTCATAAAGTTTTTTGGGGGGGCCATCCGATATAGCATCAATTTGTTAGTTACTGGTCCTGACACAATCTAAACTCTTCTGTGGAATTATGATCATAAACCTATAGTTTTTCTTCTTCTCTGCTGAGTTATACCTATTAGAGAAAAAAACAAAAGATGAATACTCTTAAAATATTTAAATTAATTCATACACGTGTATTTAATAAATAATTCTGATCTGGGAGTGAAGTTGTATTCTAGGCTTTGAATTTTAATAGGTCTAATTTATTCATTACTTCTTGATAGTCAAGTACTGTCAAGTGGGTTAGCTATTGAAACCCGATTCCCTTACGTTGACATTTACTGATTATACTTGAGTGTGAACAAGAACAGAAAAAACAACTCTTAATTTTTTTATTTTCATTCTTTTCTTTTCGTGACGTTTATTTTACCCATTTACTCAGAGAGAAATCAAACGGAATGGCAGCCTGCATATATCTGTTATTGCGCATGTCCCTGTCACGGCAGTGTGTGAGAAACGTGCCTCTTTTACAGAAGAGCTTCGCGTATAACGGTGACCATCTGGCGCGAAAATTGGCGGAAGATTATCAAAGTCGCGCCTCTTTTCTCCTCAATTGTCACTCGGTAAATAGTTCCAACACGGTTTGCTTTCGGCACCATATGGAAAGCAGAATTATTAATTTAGAAACACTGGGGCATTTAAAGAAAATCGTTTAGCCGACTATTTGAGCGATTTAAGGAGACTGTCTATTGATTTAGAACATGATTCTCCAGTCAAAGCCAGGGTAAGGTCTGAGCTGACGTTATAACGCCAATCGCTCTAATATCATTATACTGTAATACGAGGACATATGTTTTTATGGCTGGTTTTTGCAAGATTAAAAGAGGCTCGGGGCATATTGCTCACACAGTGCCAATTGTTCCACACGTGTGATTGGTTGTTAAGGTCACGTGTTGTGCCGTCATTTTTATTTAAACTGACACAAGGAGGACAGGTATAGAAAGTGATTTATTTATTAGAAAGAAATATGGAATAATGAGATAAAAACGGGACGTAAATCAATGACGGTGTTTTACCTGCAGGAGGTGCTATTCTCCCGGGCACATTTAGCGAAAAGAAGCAGGGTTCCATCAGCAATCGCGATTCGTGCCTCCCATTGCTAATGGAATGGGATATAACGTCCTAATGAAGAGACGGATATATAGAGAGAAATGGGGTTTAACGTCCACTCGACACAAACTAGGTCATTTCGGGACTTACATATGGTTAAATTTTAATCCAATACCTTGCTTGTGCGTAGGGGTCTTTAGCAGTGGGACGAAGCAGGAGGACCTGGAGAAAACCCACGGGGTTGAACAGGCGACCCTACTCCTTGTCGCGTACAAGCGGGTAATCGAAACACGCCAGTTGACTCAATGCCAGACCCAATGATACAACGCGCACGCGCTAACCATTCGGCCATGTACCCCCCCACCCCCCCAAGACGGATATACACAATGTAGCCTAGTGTGCTATATGAGAGACAACGTATTGTTGCAATGAATGAAATTAAGTTTTATGGCACGCGAGCTCCAGTCGGGCTATATTATATGTTTTTGTTTTTTTTTACACGA